CGAAGTGGAGATAAGAAGCGACGCAGTCGACGGAAGGAATCGTACTCGGCATACATCTATCGAGTTCTGAAACAGGTACACCCTGACACGGGCATCTCGTCGAAAGCTATGTCAATTATGAATTCATTTGTTAATGATGTCTTCGAACGTATTGCCGCGGAAGCAAGCCGCTTGGCTCATTACAACAAACGCTCTACGATCTCATCTCGCGAAATCCAAACAGCCGTACGGCTTATCCTTCCTGGTGAACTGGCTAAGCACGCTGTTTCTGAGGGCACAAAGGCAGTTACGAAGTATACAAGCTCGAAGTGAGCGATGTAGTGCTTCGCGTCTCGCCTTGGCTCAACGACCAAAACCCAACGGCCCTCTTTAGGGCCACAATTCGATGAGTCATGCTGCCTTGAAGATTTTCTTATGTCGTGTGATACTTTTCATAATTTTTTGCAATGGATTAATATTGTAAATAAAGTCTGTATGCCGATGTATTGTGCTTACAAGAACAAATATATTGTCTGTGTGAAGGAATGGTGATTGACCTGGTGGATAGTATAACAAGTGAGCACGTAAAAACTTAATGTAAGAATTGTTGGAGGTTACTGGGGATTGGGTAAGTGGTTGATATCGCATGTTTGTACTACAGCTGCAATACTAATCTCTGGTCGGCAGTTGTTGTTTATGTGAAATGACGGGAATTTCTGATGGATTGGGAAGTCATGCGATGATGAATTGGAACTATTTTAGGAAAATGGTTGTTAATTACAAACACAACGACTTCTTTTAATTAATGGAAGTTGAAGTTATATTAGCATAATATGCGGAATGTGAAGTGAATTTATGAATTTTTAGAAGTTATTAAACTTCGAACATTTAAAATAATCGATTGAATAATTGTTCCATCCCAAGTTTACATGCACAGTATGAAGATTTATTTGGTTTGATTAATTAATTTGGCTTCTTTAATTGATCACAATCAGATTGTTCTGTTTAATGATATTAGAAATTAGATTTAAAAGAAAGAAGAAATAAAGTAATCTCAACAGCTTGAGAAATTTATGCTAACTCTACTTAATCTATTCAAATCATTAAATTCAGCCTTTCTAACTGAAATTTATTACATACTGAATAAAGTGATAAAGGGAATTGCTAATCCTGTTTACGGGAAATGAAATTATAAGCAGCAGGCGAAGTTTTGGATACATGAAAGGAAAGGTGTGCGATAGCTTATGGGTTGGATATGGATTTCACTTATCACATACTATTATCAATAGAGACATTTCATGAAGAACTGATGAAAAATCCTACCATATCTGAAATTTTTTACACTTACCATCTCCGATGAATACTACTGTACCTGGTGTTATCAATTATCGGGAATGCATAAATTATATAATCTAAAATTTAAACTCACGATTATTTGACCAGTAATATTTCTCGCTGGACTCATTTCCTATTGACATTTTATTGTAAAGCAAATCAAAAGGCAAATGAATAAGTAATTAAGTAATTAAGTCTCATTCCGATCATTTCATTCTTGCGATAACATTACTCATTCTACCTTATAGTAAGCAAAGAAAAAATATCATTTTGTTTATTTTATAAATTTCCTGAAATTTTCCATCTCATATTAATTCCATTCACATTATTGAATTTAATATTGCCCGTTGGTCGGGATTTTTTCCTTCTATGTATTGTTTCCTTATTGATCTACAGTACATCCTCTGCATCCCATAATAGTGAATATTCGGGATGTCTCGGTAATATGCATTTCTTTCACATCGGAATTGCTGGAACCAGTAAATTCATCCTGTTCGGTATTAAATCTATATATGTTATGCGCACCTTATATTCCATCCCATAATGCTAAATGTTCCTGAGACAAGACTTGGCCATATTTCATTTTCACTTTCTTTCATTTTCCCTCCAAAAATATTGGACGCAGTTTGAAATTCTCGCGCTAATTTGGGCGTGGCTTTGATGGTGTCCCGGTGAGGTCGCAGGTGCAATAGCTATAAATAGGCCGTCGAGTTGAAGTAAACTCAGTTTAAATTAGACTGTGTGCAAGTGTGGTCTTAGCTAATAAGCGATCAAGGAAATGTCGGGACGCGGCAAAGGAGGCAAAGGACTCGGCAAGGGTGGCGCAAAACGCCATCGTAAGGTTCTGCGCGATAACATTCAAGGAATAACAAAGCCGGCTATTCGGCGTTTGGCACGACGTGGTGGTGTAAAACGTATTTCGGGATTGATTTATGAGGAGACACGTGGAGTGTTGAAGGTTTTCTTGGAGAATGTTATACGCGATGCTGTCACTTATTGTGAACATGCGAAACGAAAGACGGTTACAGCGATGGATGTCGTCTATGCTCTGAAGCGTCAAGGTCGTACACTCTATGGTTTTGGTGGTTAAAATAACCAGACACAATCCATTAGTGTATTTTGCGCACAAAACCCAACGGCCCTCTTTAGGGCCACAAATCCATGAGTCATGCTAGCTCAAAGTTGACCTGCCCTGATCACTGTGGTTTTAGTGTTGTGTATTGTTGATGTGACAAGTCATTTGTTTCTTTTTGGCTTATGTACTATCGGTCGCGTCATATACTGTCTATATTTGATTTCATATTGTACATAATGATCGATGTCGGATGATAAAGATTTGAAACTTCGTGAAAAGGCAGAGTTCTTGAAGGAATCAAGGTAATAGTAATGTACGGAGTGTGCTGTATTGGTGATGAA